AGGGCCTGCCTCATCCCCTCCTTTGCTGCAGGACTTGCCCAGGAGTCAGGCAGAGGCCCTCAATGGGTCCTCTCTGTCTCATTCTACAGCAAGATCAAAGAGTCAACAGGTCCAAGAGCTCCCAGACTGATGTAGACACTAGGAATGGCAGTACTGTAAGGATTTTCATACAAGTTCTATGTCTCCCTCTAGGCACAACCACAGTCCAGACACACCTAGAGAGACTTCTCCAGCCTCAGTGCCTGCATGGAGCACAGCTGAAGGACAGGACACCCGAGCAACAGTCCCATCACCAAGCCTGCTCCATACCTCCTTGTTCCGAAGGGCAGCAACATCCAACTGCTGTGACCTGACTGTGCCCCTTCTTCTGCCACAGAGGACACCAGACCTGCCTTGTCAAATCAATGTCTCCATGGCACCAAGCACAGCAGCCATGGTGGGGGAGAAACGTTCGGAGCCGCAGGACGAGGTTGTGCGGGGAGTGAGCAGTGTGAGTGTAAACGAGCCTGGAACGAGTTTGTAATATGCATGTGTGGTGCGGCCTGCGCAGCGTCATCACAATGGCACAGGCACTTTCCCGCCTCATTGCCTCCCAAATGGATTTTAAATATCATTCCGAGGACACAATTATTTAAAACGCTGAACTAAACACTCACTAATGGGAAAACGGCGTGTGGCCTGCAGCAGCCATTCCTCATGGGGCCACTCTGCCCATGTCATCCTCCAGCCCCACACCCTGCATGGGGCCACATGGAAGTGTCCTCCTCCTGCCTGGCGGCCAACCAGGGCACCACTGGTACCTGACCTGAGCCTAGCCCAGTGCACATTGCTTACAGGACAGCACACTCTTTGCCCCTGTCCCATTGTCCTCCGGCCCCAGAGAAGTCCTGGCCCAAGCATCCGGGCACCAGGGGCATTGCGAGTCAGTCCCCGGGGCTCCCACAGTCCCTGAAGTTTTCACAGCCCCTGGCTACAGCTCCATGTCAGGGAGCACCTCACCAGACAGAAGGTCTCAGCCTCCCCCCTGTTTGGCAGCAGGTAATACGGGGCTCC